CGGCTATCATTCTCTTACAAAACAACTCCAGTGCAGAGTTGATAACTACAAGAGAAATGAGGCGCTGGGTAAGAAGAGGATCATCCCAGATGACACCAGCACTGTACCAGAAAATAAGAAGCAAAGGAAAGACTCATATGGCTGTATTCAGTGGGAATCTGGACCTGTGAATGTGGAAGCACAGATGAAAAAGAAAAAAGACATGCAAAAAATATTCCTGGAAAATGAGAGGAATGAAAAACAAATAGAACAGTTAATCTCAGACACCTTCATATCTCAGAGAAACGACATAATATCTGGTAAGGACACCCAGGCCCTTACTGAAGAATGGCCTCTCCTCTTCTCACTTGTAGGCATGAAGGCACACTTCAAACTCTTGACTGGTGTCCATATCAATGAGGGATTTGAGGAGGCCATGGCCTCAAAACTGGCCAGAGTCCTGGAATATTTTCAGTCTCTTCCGTTGGAGAAATCAAGCGTAGCTGCAAAACAGAGAGCAGAGATCCAAGCTGGAGGTGGACCCTCTGGGGCGGTATTGATGCTACTCTCACACTTCAAAGAGGATCGTGCAAGAATGTTCCACATGGTCGACAGAACATGCATCGCTGTGGAGGTTAAGACAGAACACCTGCCACCCACACCATGCATTGTTGTATGTGGTAAGTGAGAACCAATATAATGTGTGTGCCCTACATGCAAATAGAGGCATTTAAATGGGTGGATTTACTGATGACTTTTTTTTTTTTCACAGGACAGAGTCCATTGTCTGCAACAGCTTTCATGGTGGCAGCAGACCAGGAGGTGATGATGGATAACTTGAAGAGCTTCACCGACGCACTGGTTGGCATGTTCATGTGTTTCTACATCTTCAATATGCACTACCCAGTGGAACTCAGGGCCACAATGGAGTTTCTTCAAAGGTAAATGTACATGAATAATCATACACACATACATAAAAAGACCCCTAAAAATCAATATCAGTTTAACTGATCAGCTGACTGGGTCAGAAAGACAGAGAGACAGACAGAGGAAGACAGACAGACAGACAGACAGACAGACAGACAGAGGGCAGAGGAAGAGGGAGAAAGACAGAGAGAGGGCAGAGGAAGAGAGCGAGACAGACAGACAGAGGGAGAGAGAGACAGACAGACAGAGGAAGAGAGACACACACAGACAGACAGACAGACAGAGAAAGACAGACAGACAGAGGAAGAGAGAGACAGACAGACAGAGGAAGAGAGAGAGAGACAGACAGACAGACAGACAGGAAGAGAGAGAGAGAGAGACAGACAGACAGACAGGAAGAGAGAGATAGAGAGGGCAGAGGAAGAAAGAGAGACAGGAAGAGAGAGACACACAGACAGAGGAAGACAGACAGGAAGAGAGAGAGAGAGAGAGAGAGAGAGAGAGAGAGAGAGAGAGAGAGAGGGCAGAGGAAGAGAGAGACACACAGAGACAGAAAGACAGACAGACAGACAGACAGACAGACAGAGGAACAGAGACAGACAGACACCTCTAAAACTTTCTACTTTAAGTTGTCTTTATACAGTAATGTACAGTCAATTACTTTTGTGTTTGTACAAATACTACTCATTACCTCTAAAAAAAACCATAAAATCACCTTAACCACACATGCTTAATGACCTGCAATTTTATGGAAAACACTACAGATTTCTGTAATTTTACGTACATTTCTTCATTATCAAGAAAGATCTGTAAAATTGCATCACATTTTATGTAAAATTACATTTGACTATGAAAGAAATATGTTAATTTACCTTTAAATATCATAGTAATTATTGGTAATTACATGTAATTCTAAAGGTAAATATTTAAATTACTGCTAGTATCTGTTAATTTACAGTTATTTCATTGTCTTATCGAAAATGGTGGTAAACCTGTAAAAACATACAGAAAATTGTATGTAAAATTAGAGTTAAATATGTACAAATACAATAAATTGTCATTAAAAAACATAATATTAATGTAATCTTAAATTATGGTTAATTAACTGTAATTTTAAATATAAAACCTAAAATTACTGAAAATATCTGTAAATCTACTAGCATTTCATTGTTTTATTGGAAAACAGGAAAAATCTGTAAAAAAAAATTACAGAACATTGGCTGTAAAATTACTTTTTTTTTTTTTTTTACAGTGTTCTTCTGTTTATACAGAAGGTTTTATTTTGTGTGTTTTCCTGAGGAAATGACAACAACATCTTTCATTAAGAAAAAGAACTTCTTATCGTGCATGTTGCATGAACCAAATCCGATTGCATCAGAAATTATTATTATTATTATTATTATATCTCACTGTACTTCATGTATTAGAAGTTTATATTGCTATGGTAACATTTGTTATGTCTTGATTGTTCACAGTAAAAAGAAAATTGAAATGTCTGGTATTTTTTAGACATATTGTCATAATGTACTCCTCAAAACTGATCTGTTGTTAGATCCAAATGTTTATTTTTTTATTTTATTTTATTCTTTCAAGTTTTGATTAATGTCACAATTTTCCTGTGATACTTTTATGTCTCACTGCACATCATGTGTTGGTACAATACTGTGCATGGAGAGATTTATTACCTCTTGATAGGTACTGATGATTTTGAATTTATCAAAAATCCTAACTCCTTTTGTGGATGTTTTGTCACAGTGAACTTTCTCTCACTTATGTGATAATTTAAAAATAATCTGTTCTAAGATCAGTGTGTTTATCCCTTTTACTGAAAAACCGACTTCTAAGGTCAGTTTTTATCCTATACTTTTGTTAAAAAGTGCAAGTAATGTCCATTTTTAATGTTTAATGTACGACTAAGTGTTGATTGATCTCAAACTGTTTGTATGTCTTGTAAAGACGACTGATCCTCTATACACTGTGAGTACTGTAGTGATGTATCATCACATTTACCTCCAGTTAAAAATGTCATACTTCATTATTGAGTTTGTTTGAATACACAAAACCTAATCTGATCATCTGTGTTGTGTTCACATTGTATTTTTTGACACACAGCGACACTGTGATGATAAACAACAGATTCAACATGTTCTTTGTTGCATTTTGTTGTTGACAGAGCGCTCTATCATAACTCCATGGTTCAAACAACACATAGCTGCATTCACAGCAGGGTAAATTTGACATTAGATAAACTGATACATGTCATATTCTGGCGCATCATAAGTCACCAAATCATGTGGAGATGTGAGCCTCTAATCATGTTTCATTGACAAACTTTTGCTGAGTCATGATTTTGGCGGAATTGTCAGTTCAGTGTGTTGGAATGTAAAATGTTTAAAGATGCCTACAAGCACCCACACATTTCAGGTCATGTGATATGATACATAATGAGACATGCTTGTATTGATCCTGACATGAAACAGTGAAAGGAGAGTGTGTGGGAAACCAGAGGAAACTCACTCACAGAGCCCTGAGGGACAACAGATTGTGACCTCAGCCCTAAAGAGAGAGAGAGGTTAAGAGGGATTAAGGCGGTATTACAGTAATAACCTGCTTGTTTGTTTACAGTCATGATCATAAAGTTGGTCCATTGTGAATACTGTTAAAACACTGCAAGGTCATCATGTGTACAGAATATTTTTAATTTAAAGTAACAGATCATACAATGTCAGTATGTTACATGTTAGATGAGACTGTAACTCAATTTTCACATTGAGAATGTTACACTACAATACTGAGTTTAAGGATACCAATTAATTAAAGCTGGTGATCGTCCAGTGTTTACGTCAGACAAAGTATTGATACTATTTTGGATAATACCCATTTTACTGTTTTAAAACTCTGTGTATGTTTTTGTTGTAAACTTTGGATTTTCAAAGAATATGTATGATTACAGTACAGGTCAGTACATTTGTAGCTAATGTTAAGGTTTTAGAAAATTAATTATTAAAATCTTGAGTTCAACCCTAAAAGAAATACAATAAAATTATATAAAATGTCTTCTGCTTGTGTCAAAGACAATCCTGTTGTTACACAGCATCTACAGTGAAATTATGTCAGTGGACAGAGTGTGGGAAAGCTCTGGAGAACTGAGTCACAGTTCAGTTTGATTAGCAGTCAGCTCTCGTCCAGAGGGATTTGGCACACTTCAGGAAACATCTGTCTTAACCCCCTAATTTCATATAAAGAGCTCAGCTTTTGATCCACCAGGCAAAATTGTATTATGACTTGATATTTATATTGTCTACAGTTACAAGTTAAAAGTGACAATTCAGCACGATTGTTGATATTATATGTATTTTATTCAATGTATTTTCAGTTTGTATGAAACCTTGGAGGCAGCCAAGAGTGTTCTTTCCCTCCAGATGGTCGGTGACGTCAGGCTCTGTATCCTTTACACACGACCAGCAGCCGTCACAAAAGCTTCTTGAAAGGTCCTTTTGTTGTGCGCTGACCACACCATGCAAAGAGTGTGGGAAACTGAGACCAGCCTTCTACTCACACAGGCTACCAGCCACAAGACAGAGGACACACCTGCTACATCTGGACACCAGCACAACTTTGTCCCGGTTCAGATTAATATGATACTACCATCTAATGTTGGTTGCAGGTGTCTTGCAGCACTACAAATCTGTTCTAAGGAGGAAATTCGATGACATGCAGAGTACAACCCTGTATACAGAAGACTGCTTATTATATAGCAGTTGAGTGTGTAAACTTGCACTCATAAAGGTAAGTCAAAGGGTGAATATCATGAGCGTGTGCTCAGTCAAAGTCATTGATCCCAGCATCAGGCAGCAGATCTGCTCTCTCTACAGGGTCAACACTTTCCCAGATTCACACAGAGCTCTGTGAGTCTCTCTCTATCACCCCCCCAGTCCTCCACCTGTTCCCCTGAGATCTAACCATTGCCCTCAGAGCAATAAAGCCATTCGGAGTGTGGCATCCCTTACTGTCAGACAAAGCTCTCTGATTGGCTGAGACTGTGAGAAACTCCAACTAGACCCAGACCCACACATTGATATGGAGATGTGGGACTATAAATAGGAGGGATGAAGCCAGCACAGATCAGATTCTCTCTACAGAGACCTCTACAGCACACAGATCCAGACATGGCACCTACAATCACTGCAGCAATGACCAATTCTCAGGAGCATCTCACTCTGACCCACAAGGTAAACTCAACATCCAACAACATTTAAATATTGTCAGTGAGTGGTTGTTTTATTTCATGCAAACATTTACTCCAGAATAAGTTTATTAATGACTTTGTTCTTCTTCCTGCAGCTCAGAAAGCCTCTGGTGGAGAAGTTACGCAGAGAGCGAATCAACAGCAGCATTGAGCAGCTCAAGTCTCTCCTGGGTCCAGAGTTCCTCAAACAGCAGCCAGACTCCAAGCTGGAGAAAGCAGACATCCTGGAGATGACAGTTTGTGTCCTGACACAGCTGCAGCAGCAGCATCAACAGCAGAGAAGACTGCTGAACCACTTCAACAAGCTGCAGTCTTCCTCTGATAACAACCTGACAGAGGCTGACTTCTCTCCTCTGAGCTCCACAGTCCAGACCAGCATCACCAAACAACAGAGTCCAGTCAACAGCGCCCTCTGGAGGCCGTGGTAGACACCTACAGACTGGAGTTACTACCAGACAAACTCAGATGACCATATTGGTCAAAGATTACTGGAAATGAATTCTTCTGAATTCTGACATTTGATGAACTTGTTCTTCTGTTTGTACACAAGATTTTATTTTGTGTGTTTTCCTGAGGAAATGACAACAAAAATATCTTTCAAATTAAGAAAGAGAACTTCTTATCATGCATGTTGCATGAACCAAATCTGATTGCATCAGCAATTATTATGATTATATCTCACTGTACTTCATGTTCTTCTATGTTATGGACATATTGTCATAATGGACTTTAATCATTTTGATTAACCATAACTGATCTGTTTGTTAGATCCAAATATTTATGCTTTTTTTCTAAAAGTTTGATTAATGTCACAATTTTCCTGTGATACTTTTATGTCTCACTGCACATCATGTGTTGGTACAATACTGTGCATGGAGATATTTATTACTTCTTGATAGGTATTGATAATTTTGAATTTATCAAAAATATTACCTGTCCTTTTATGGACATTTTGTCATGGTGAACTTTGTGTCACTTTATGTGACAATGGAAAAATGATCTGTTTTAAGATCAGTATGTTTATCCTTTTACTGTAAAAGGTTTGTTTAATGTCACACTGTCACAGTTTTACAGTGACAATGTAATTTTAACATTAAGAGAATCAAACTAATTTAGTGATGATGAACAATGTGACCTGTTGTTAGGTCAGTTTTTACTATTTTTTTCTGTTGTTCAGGAAATGCAAATGTTTAAATCCATTTGGAAAAACAATTTTTTAAAATACAGTGAGTACTGTGTCCTCAAATACTGTATAGCATTTGTCTTTTATAAAGACAGTTGTTCCTTTACGCTCTCTGAGTACAGTGTGTCTTGTAGAAGTCGACAGGTTGTTGTTGTTGTGATGCATCATCACCTCTAGTTGGAGCGTTGTTGCTCATTGTGCCTTGTTGAATAAACAAACACTGTCAGCTGAAAATGTTGTGTCCTCGTATCACTGTGTATCATGGTTACATACATTTATATTTTATTTCAACTTATTTCTTGCCATCATCGTTTCGACCTTTGGTTGGTAAATCAAGATAAAATGATGACACACAGTAATTGTTTATCCATAACATACCTGTTTAGTGTTAAACTAAGCATTGGAATGTGGTTCAATTTAGATTTTTGATGAGGAGGGATAATCAGTGTTACATCACTCTTTTTACATGAAGTCAAGTCATCAAGCTAAATGAAAAAAGGTCCATTTCAAAGACACTTTTGCAACATCAATATCTTGGTAATTTTCAAGTTTAGGTGTTTTTTTAAATGTTTAGAGTAAAGCATTACACGCTTTAAAGAGGTCAGACTTAGTATCTAATGTGATGCATAATGAGGCACACTTCTATTGTTCCTCCAGTGAAAGCAGTGAAAGGACAGAGTGTGGGAAACCAGAGGAAACTCNTAATGTGATGCATAATGAGGCACACTTCTATTGTTCCTCCAGTGAAAGCAGTGAAAGGACAGAGTGTGGGAAACCAGAGGAAACTCACTCACAGAACCCTGAGGGACAATAGATAAAGACCTTTGCCCTGAGGGGACAGAGATTCAAGACACCCTGGCTCCTAAAACTGGAGCTGGTTTGAAATAACGCCTGTGGTTGTAACTGTTCTTCTGATATGAATCAGCATCAACACCTTTTTTCAGAATACTGACAAGTCATCTTGTGAAGAGACCCTTTTAGCATGGTGTTTGAAAAGTTTCTGTCAGTAACGCTATAAATTGTTCTAATAATTTAGTGAATTGGTTAGGATGTTGGAAGTGTTCACAGCCTATGTTCTTCTCACTCTTTATTATTCTCCCGCCACTTTTGTTGCAACATAACTAGTTCCACACTTTTCAATGTAGAAATTTCATGTGTGCTACTGTACTTCTCTATTCAAACTGTAAACCTGTTAAGACATGTAAGACTTTCTCACATTAATTCAACTGTCTGATATCTTTCATACATTTTAGGTAAAATTATGTTTATGTTTTTCAACATTCAACATTCACATCATAATTTTCTAAAAAAATGGATTGTCTAGTTTCACTTAGTGTTGTGTACCAACTATTTATTCTGATGGGTTATTATTTTTAGAGGAGGTCTCAACCTTTACCCTTTGTGGTGCACACTGCTTTAGCACAGGACCCTCAAAAGGTCCATTTGTAGAGGGGCACTTGACTGTTTTCTGCTAATGGACAGAGTGTGGGAAAGCTCTGGAGGGAAGACTTCAGTGTGAATGACATTCATGCCACCAGCAGCCAAGTCATTCCCCAAAGGGATTTGGCACACTTCAGAAAACAGCTGCCCCCCAGGAAACCTCCCACCCTCATGTGTAGAGCTGAAACTTTGATCCAGTTGATGGTCAGTAGTGAAGCGTGATTATGATTTGAGGTTTACATTGTATGAATATGAGGTGATCACGCTAATACTTTTGGTGATTCTTTATGATAGATTTTTCCACCAAATTTCAATTTTTTTACACAGAGTCTGAGCCAGCCAATGGTATCCTTTCCCTCCAGATGGCTGATGATGTCAGACTGTGTTTCTATAACAACACACAGCCAGCATCTGTCACTGAAGTCCCTTTGTGGTTCATTGACCACACCATACAGGGAGTCAGTGTGGGAAACTGAGCTCAGCTTGTTCCTCACAC